CTGTTGTGTTCCGAAAGAAAAGAAATTGTTTGTCCTGACAATATATATTAAACAACATTTTATCACTGGCTACAATGACTTCAAATCACTGGTTGCTTTTCCTTTTTATATATTTGTTAAAAAAAAAAAAAAGATAAGGAAATTAACTATTTAACTTTAAAAAAAACCCAAATTAAATTTGACCGAAGTTATAATAACTTAAAATCATGGAAGAAAAAACCTAAACTTAAAGAGGAAGGCCAGGGCTGTGGTGGAACTGGGTCTTTACTGGACGACCTTGACCCAACCTGATATTGGCGAATGAGTGGGCCAGAGATGTAGGGGAGCTTGGTCTGTCCTGGACGACCTTGACCCAGCCTGAAATTGACAAATGAGTGAGCCCATGCTATAACAATACATTGGGGTCCAAAAAAAAGGAAAGTACATTTTACATGGGACCCTGCCTGATCCCTTGATACAGGGTTTAATGTCAAGCATTACACCCAAGCTATTCGATTATGGCAATGTTGGATTAGATAATTTAAAATTTATACTATTAATTTGAACTACTTGGATTTTAAATTATTATTTTTTAAAAATAAATTTTATCATTTTTTATTATTTTTAACTATGAAAGCGTTGATTTTTAACTAAAATATGGTTTAATGATAAAATTTACACTCAAATTATTAGAGTTGTAACAAAATAAGATCTATATTATTAATTTAAGATATTTAAACCTCAAACGATTAATTTTTTGATAAATTTTATCATTTTTTCATTATTTTTGTTAGTTAAAGTGTTGACCGTTAACAAAAATACTTAAAATAATATCATTTTAATCATTTCAATTTTTTTTTATAGAATTAAAATTAATTTTGAAAAAAAATTAATTATCCATTTTTTAACTAGATGATCCATTGACATCATTAATTATCTAACAACAAAAATATGATATATATATATATATATATATATATCATCTAAGCTACCTCTCAAAACTAATTATTTTTTAAAAATATTTTTTTGACATTAATTTTAATTCTTAAAAAAATTAATAATTTAGTTGTTTTTTTTTTTTTTACGAGATGGATCAATTATACATCATTAACTATCCAACAACAAAATCAAATCCATAAACAATAAAATCATCTAACCCTCCTTGAAGCTAACTACTATTAAAAGCAACAAAAATAAGATCTATATATATATAAAATCATCTATGCTACCTCAAACCTAATTATTTTTTAAAAATATTTTTTTGACATTAATTTTAATTCTTAAAAAATTATTAATTTAGTTTTTTTTTTACTAGATAGATCAATTATACATCATTAATTATCCAACAACAAAATCAAATCCATAAACAATAAAATCACCTAACCTTCCTTAAAGCTAACTATTATTAAAAAATATTAAAATTAATTTTAATTCTTTAAAAATAAAAATAAAAAACAAAGTGGTCAACACTTTAACTATAAAAAAATAATGAAAAATGATAAAACTTACTTAAAAAATTAACCTTAAAGCTAGTTATTTTGGAAGTTAACTTGATGCGTACTCAAGTTGAAGATACATCCAGTGTCTTCAAGTTCGAGAAAAAAAAAGCAATTAATGATGATTTTTTTTCATATTGATCATCAAATTAACATACTTGATGTAGATGAAAAATTAGACCAAACTTGCAAAATAGCATACATTTGCAATCTTGGTAAATTTTAGGAGTATAATAGTGAAAATTTTAATATTTTCTACAAGGATGATGAAATTAAGAAGGAAGTAATCATGGATCGTATTTCTAAAATTTGTTCGATGGGGCACCAAGCTAAAAGTTATCTTTGCTTCTTGGGCTTACTCTAAGCTGATTTTATTGGATTTAGAAAGTTTGGTCCAAATACAAAAATTTCATGTAATTATGTCATTGGTAAGATTGAATTTAAAGTATTGTGGGCAAGGTATTGTGAACAGATGTTGGTCATACTACTACATTCCAAATATTTATTTATTTGATATCAGAGAGATCAATTTCTATTAGTAAAGAGAGCCTAACGTCAGGAGCTAGGAGAGCGAGGTTAGTTGAGAGCAAGTTTTTCTTAAGTAAGGGAGCCTAACGTGAGGAGTGCCTCGTTTAATTTTAGGGTTAATTATTTCAACTATAATATTTCTTTCACTGTTAAGCTTTTTATAGAATTTGTTTTCTTCTATTTAACTAGACTATTATTATTAGGGAATTAGTGCTCTTGCATTCTATTTTATTTTTCCTATTTAATATTGTTAGGATTTTCTACTTTTTCTATTTAAAGAGTTGTATTAGCAATATGAATGATGAAAAGAAATTAAGTTTTAACAAAAGTTTTCCTACGGTTTTGTTGTGTTTTGTTTTGAGTACTAATGGACTGTTATTTTGTTTATATACGCTGCATCAAAAAAAGTCAAAAGCTACGAAATGAAGTTTTTGGACTTGTGAGTCTTATTTAACATAAAAGTATTTCAACATCACATTACCAAATATTTTATATATATATATAATTATAATAGCGATAACAGATTTTTAAATCTATTAGAATACCTAATTAGTTTATAAAAAAAATTACTCTAATCCTTTTCCACTGTTTAATAAAAATTATTTTTTATTCTAATTTGAACAACTTAAAACCATTAAATTAATTAAGGTCAAATAAATTTAATTTTTCTTAGATAAAAGATAATTTTAGACCAATTTGTGGATCCATTAATTTTTTTTTTTTTTTGAACAATCATAAAGATATATCATATATTTTTCACGTTAACTTGATGCATTTAGTAAAATAAATTTTACTAAATACTGGTCCAAGAATTCAAATTTAGAAAATTAAGATAGAAAACAACTTCCTTCGATATTAAGACTAATCTCTCCAGATTATAAGGAAAAAAACATGACTTGCCTATACCTAGTTACATGAAATGTTGTTTACAATTCGATTTTGAAATAGTCTAATTAATATCTTTAAATTTATGTATAAAAATAAATAATTAATTTCATCCCTCAATTTTTTTTTTTTTTTTTTTTTTTTGCTTTCTCTCAAATTCAAATAAAAAAAGAATTTTTTTTTATTTATAAAAAAGAATGGAAGCAATTGTTTTTATTTATTTCAGAAATTTATCATGAAAATTTATTTTAAATCAAAACAAAAAAAAAATTATGAAATTTTTTTCTAACCCAAGAACAAAAGCAAAACAACAAAGAAAAAGAGGAGATTTTAGGATTTTTTATTTTATTTTATTTTTTTTGAAACTTGAGAGAAAGGAAAAAAAATTGACAGATGAAATTAATTATTTATTTCTATACATAAAGGTAGAGAAAAATAAAAACATCTTGGAATTTTCTTATTTTTTCAGATTTTTATTTTTTTCAATATTTTTTTAAATGCCACGTGTCAATATTTTGTTAGTATGTTATCGAAAATTGATACAATAATAAAAAATTTTAATTGAAGGAAAGAAATTAAAATATAAATTAAGAGTAATGATTATTAAAAAGATTAATGAAAAAATATGATTATAATAAATAAAGCAGTAGAATGATATTTTGATTTTTTTTTAAAAAAAATAAAGGAATATACCTTTTACTTGACAGTTTGGTATTTACGCAAAAGTTCTCAGTTAAAAAACGGTTGTCTGTAATTGCAAGACGCCCCTAAAATCATGAAAGCGTACTGAATATTCATACAGGGCCGCACGGACCACTGGGTGTTACTGTCGACCTAGCTTCGGCTGCCAGAGTTTACATGGTTCGACTATGACTGCTGTTCTTTTATATATAAATGCGCATGTGCTAAAAGAGTCCAACAACTTCTAAACTAATTTTTTTTATAAGTTTTGAACTTCTAATTTTTTTTGAAATTTAGTTTATCTTTTAATTTTTTATTATTTATTTTAAAAAATAACAATTAAATAAATATTTTTACGATGAAAATCATTAATTAAAATTTATGTAGAGTTCATTTCGAAATCAATTTTTATTTTTAATGTTCAAAATATAAACAAATACAATTTTCGAGTTCGAAAAATTATGGAATGTTTTTTACAAAATGGATTCATTTTTTTTTCAATATGTGTAAAATTTCAGATCAAAATATCAAAAATTAATTTTTTTTAAAAAAAGGAAGATGGCTGAAAATCATTAAATAGACTAAATCTGAAAAAAATTAAAAATTAAAAATTATTCAAATTAATAAAAAAATCAGAAAATCAACTTCAAATGACTTAAAATTCAACGATGATAAAACTTTAAAGATAGCATATATATATATATATATATATATATATATAGATTTTCATGTAGCAGCAGTAATGATGCATTCAATCCCTTTAAATGTTTGATATTCAATTTTATTAAATTTTAGAATAAAACATCCAATTCTTAACTAGTTATTATAAAAAAAAAAAAAAATCTAAACGGATAGAATAAGATGGTTTTTTTTTATGTGACATTTATATGAAACAGAAAATAAAACATGATTTTAATCGAAATTGCTATAAATATACTGTTTAACTTGAAACTGACATCTTATGAATATGTTATGTTTTTAAAATATAGCTGTTTTTTTTTTAATTATTATTTAAAAACACTACTTGTTTAAGATTATATTTTCTTAAACATGCATCGATCAACCTTGAAATTTACAGCAAAGTATAACTAATCATTTATAACATTTAATATTTGAATTTCTAGCATTTTTGAAAACAACATCATCATACATGATTAAAAAAAAAAAACATTCTATACAAACATCTGGTTTTTACCCACTAGCCGTCTTTGGTGTGGAGGAAAAATTGCTTGTCCGTTTCAAATAGACACCAAATTCGCATAATATCCAAAAAAAAAAAACAATAATAATATAGTAGTAGTATTTAACGTCAGTTGATCCCAAATTCATTTTCTCTCTTTCTTTCTTTTCTTTTTTTTTTAATGAAAAAAGGCCAAAAAAAAAGAAGAAGAAGAAGCAAAATTACAGAAACCAAAGTGACCCCGTTTCGCATCACGAGAGAGCACAACCGCGACGTGAAAAACCGAGCCGAGATTTGCCCCTATCAAACTCCAACAAAAATCCTTGTTGCATCAGATTCCCAATAACCGAAAACCCACCACTCTCGGACTCAGCGGGTTGAATCGCCAAGCACTTGATTCCCTCACTTACATCTATAAAATAATTCCTCGGCGGCGGCGAAAACACCGATTCACCAGCGAGTTCCAAACTCAGTCTTGGCAATCTCGGTCTTGACACGCCCGTCACGTTCACACAAAGATCAAAACCACTGTGAGTTGACTCATCTCCTGGAGCTGGACTCGGTAACTTTACTTCACGCTTAAACGCCGTTAATATCTCAAGGTAAGCTGGCTCCGTTAAGAAAGTTAATGTCGTTCCTGAGTCGATAACTGTCCCGCCGTTACCTAACCCATCGATGGACCAAACAGAAGGGTCAATAGGTAATTTGACTCTATTAACAAACACTGCCTTGATGGCAATGTAGTAAAAAGTGGGGGCTACAGGGTTGATTAACAACGGCGTGTAGCTTAGTTTGCTTTTGTTATCCTTCTTTGTGGAACGGACGTCGCCGATCATGAGATAGCTGGTTGGAGGAGGAGAGAGAGTGTAATCCCTAAGGCAATAGGAGAAACTGCGACCAAAACGGCGGCCTAACTGAGAAGAAAACGAAATGGGGCCACGGCCCAAGCCCATCACACCATGGGCCCCATTAAAACTCAACCCGGTAACACTCGGACCGGAGACATGAAACCCGCACCCGAATGCTAAGCTCTTGAGCTTCATTGCTCCCCCGGAGCTTGTATTCAAGGTGGTGGTGTCTTTAGAGAAAAACCCAGAAGTTTTGGACCCATCAACGTAAACGTACTCGTATCTACAAGGGCTGTGAAGGCGAGTGTGGTTGCAGGGATTTGGGTCAGGTTGAGGGACGAGTTGACACAGAGAGCTGAAACAGTGAGTTGGGGAGAATGTGGATGAGTGGCGAGAAAGAAATGTGGATCCGGGTGGGTGGGAGGAGCAGTTAGTTTTGCAAGCAGAGCACGTAACCCAAGTTAGGTCGCTGCCGGTATCAGCAACGAGGAGGAGGGTTTGAGGTGGGGATCCGAGGCGGAGAGACACGAAGTATTGACCAGAACCGGAGGAAGCTCCGGAGATTAAGGGGGATTTGAGGGCGGTGCGGTGGTGTTTGTGGTGGTGGCGGTGGCGGAGAAGAGAAAGACGGTCGATGTCTGAAGAGAGGGATTGGAGTGGGGTAGGAAATGGTGTTTTGTGGAGTAATGGGAGTTTTAGGTATTCTGCCGTGGAGGTGGAGAGATCTACGACGGCGAGGAAGAGGAGGTAGAGGAGGGAGAAAGACAGCATTGTGATGTGTAACTCTGTGTGTTGTGTCCGTGAGAGAGAGAAGAAAGCAGAGTCGTTGTTTGGATTTAAATGGCCGTACTATATCATTGAACTGGTGTCTGTGTGTATGTTGTTTTTTGTACTGTTGGAAAGTTTTATGGCATTGGAAAGAGTTAATTATAACTTAATCCCTGTAGTTTTTAAAAGTAATTAATTAGCTCATATAGAGTCATAAATAATCAACTACTCCATTTTTTTATCCAAAAAAAAACCTCCAATTATTTAATCAACATTGGACATCCTCAATTCAGTTATTTTTCTCCCAAAAATTCATCCTTTTTTTAAATACAAATTTCTACCTTTTATGCTATCTTTTCTTTATTTTATTTTTCAAAAAAACAAATATATATGAAGTTATGATGTTGGTGAAAGAGTTGTACAAGATTTCACATTTAATCTCTTGATTTTATTAGGTGAAGTGTGATGTTTCTAATTATGAAAAAAATAAAAGTGTTTAATTAGCCTGAATTAATGTGAAAAGTCCACAATATGAATACTAAAAAATCGTAATTGATGATAAATTTTTTACGATGTAAAGTTAAAACGTTATATAAGTTATATGGAGTTTTGCATCTAACAAAATCACTTCGTTTTTGTTAAAGATGCATCTTGTTAGAAAAAAGTGTAGGATAAAATAAATTTAAAAAACAATATAAAATTGATACAAAGAACTAAATTATAAACAGATTTAAAACATAGAACCAGCTGTTTGGTTTATTGAAACTACAAGGACTAATTAATTACTTTTGTTGATTACAGGGACTAGAGCCATAGCCAGATAGAGGAGAGCATAGTGGTGGAGCGACAACAGTATGAGGCTGGTGGGGGATGCCTTTTAATTTTTCTGCATTGTTTCGCGTGACATTTTGTGGGATTAAACTGGTTGGGAAATCTAGCTTTCGATTTAGCATCCAATGGTGTCCCCGGCCATTTTACCAGCCTATAGAAAATTGCCACGTGGAAAAACAGCTGGAACTACTATTTTTGTGAGCATTTGTTGGGTGTAGAGTAAGGAATGATGTTTTTGTTGGTCTTTAAACTTTTATGGCGAATTTCTGGGGTGTACTGAGCATTGCAGATATGCATACCATAAAAGCTGCAGCTAGCTAGCTAGCTAAGGTTTAGAGCTTAAGTAACGATTTGCTTAAATTACCTTTATAACTAGGATTTGATTTGCTTAAATTACCTTGATTTTCAGTGGTGCTTGTACCAGCCCCCAGGGCCGACATGACTGCTAGCCTAAAAGCTCAAATCAAACAAACAGAAGAACTAATATATGCTACAGAAAATGAAAAAGGGACAAGCCTTGGGCTTTAGTGCTGCTTCAAACAGGGGCCTAGTTGTTCTACTTTACCTCAAGTATGAGCCCAATACCCTAGGCCAATAAGGAAACCAGCCCTCTAGCTCCAACATCCAAACCCTTTTTTTTTTTTTTCCTTTATTAAATGTCAATGAGCTAGCTTTCCTTACTCCCATGGACTAAATTCCTCCATATTGAATTTTAAACAAGATATCTATATCCTAACGAATACATTTACAAAAAATTACTTGTTGAAGTCTCTTTTAAAATCTTGGATGATATCACTGTTGAAAATTTAATTCTACCATGTATAAATTAGATTTTTAAGAAAATAATTGAGTCAAATACATGTAACAATTAATAATATAAAATAAATAAATCACAAGAATATAACTGTAAAAATACTAAATTTACATAGAAAATCCTTTCTAGTGTAGAGAAAAAATTATGATACCATCTCTCGAAATTATCTACTATAATTAAAAATAAAAAAACAAACAAACGATCACTCAAATTTCTCTATGAACTTGAAAAACAAAAATATAGACAGCAATACAAGTTATCTCTCAAGCTAAATCTATCTTGCTATGAAAACCTAAAATCCGCAAAATCGTCGTGCATTTTTTTTTTTTATAATTGTAGTATTCAAAAATCAATGCTAAAGAAAATCTTAATATTTTATGCACAAAAAATCTTTACTTTCTTCCTATAGAATTCGTTAAAAAGAAAAAAAAAGCCTTATTTTTTTTCTTTTTTCTTCAATTGCTCTCTCTTGGCAAGTGTATGTAAAAGAAAGTGTGCTCTTTCTTTTATATACACGTGTCGACTAAACAAAAAAACAAGATAATTTTTTTTCCTTTATAGTTTTACAATACTCGTTTTTCTATTTAACTTGAATCATTTTCCTAATTAATCATTTCCTATTTAATTTATTTAATGGATTATGCTAAGGCAACGATGGGCTAGAACTATAGCATATATCCAATAAATCTCCTCCTCCAACCTATGAGAAAAAATATCAACTCATCATTCGTAGTTCATGCCGCTTACATTGTATACAATTTGTTCTTCTCATACACAATCAATTATGTCGACATATTAGCATAATATTTATTTTAGAGAATCATTCTCATCATCATCAATTGTTTCTCCATTATCTCACAAAACTAATGACATCACTTGTCATTTAAATTTGATTTCTAACCCTTAACATAAGTCGAATATTAGTGATTGTGAAGAATAATAACCTTTTTGAAGATCATAATGAAAAGTGCACTTGTAAATATGACAAGAGTAGAAGGATTAAAAACACTAATAATAACAACAATTCTCAAAACTCCTAAATTGGTAATGGCTACTTGCCAAGCATCACCAAAAGGCGTCCTACCTCGACTCATTACTCAAGCTCCTACCACGGTTGATACATATACAAGTCTTCAAGCCATGAACCAAATCCCGAAGTGCTCAACTCGGACTATAACAAGAAAAACAACAAGACTTTAAAATCCTCTAAGGTAACGATGTTGTATTTGGCCACGTTGCGTGTCGCCTAGGCCATGAGGATTTTATACTCATCCTTTCCTTCTACTTGCAACACCATATGCATCTAGCTAAGTTATATATTGATCGAGTTGTGAGCTTTTCAAGATCATTTTTTTCTTTTTAATGACAATGCTATGTTCATCTTTTCAAACCGCATGCCGCCAAACCGTGAGCATTTCTTGTTCAACCTTTCTTTCCGATGGCAATGCCATTACTATCTAGAAAAGTTACATGCTAGCTAGATCGTGAGCTTTCTATGCTCATTTTTTCTTTCCGATGGCATTTGGCTAAGTTGTGCACTAGTCGAGTTATGAGCTTTTTATGTTTATTTTTTCTTTCTAATAGAAACGCTTTGTCCATCTAGTCAAACTATATACTAGACAAGTTATGAGCTTTTCATGTTTATTTTTTCTTCCCGATGGTAACGCTATATCTATCTATCCAAATTCCATGTCGGACAACATACTATTGGTTTTTTATAATTATTTTTTATTTTTTTATGGCAATATTATGTTCATATGAGCAAGCTTTGCACCGACTAAGTCGTGCATTAACCATATCATGAGTTTTTTCATACTTAGTTTTTCTCTTTGATAGCAATGTCATATCTAGTTACGTACCGAAGGTTGTGAGTATAAATATTATTCTTAGTATAAGAAATAAAATTCAATCTTATTATTAGTAGTTGAACGCTTAAGAAAAATACATGTCTACTTAACAATTAATGAATTAAAAACTTAGAAAGGAGTTGATAAGTATTTAGAAATTATTGGCTCCATATATATATATATCAAAATAGACATTGAAGTATTTGTTATAAAATAAAAGAAAAAGAAAAACCCCCAAGATACTAACAACTTTAAGACTGATTTAAATATTCATTGTTTTTTTAAAATTTTATATATTGAGATCATTATAACCGTTAAACATGAATTCTCTTCTCATATATCTTTTCATTTATTGCTCCTTGATCTTGTAGAATATAATAAAAAAAGAGTCAATATACTCAATTATTTTTTTGAATGTAAAAAAGTAAGTGATAAGATGTTTGACATGACTTTTTAAGGCTGTTATTGTCAAACAACTTTTTCACTTATAGTTATTTGAAAAAAAAAAAAGATAAATTTTAAAGAATAAGGGTTAATCCAACAAATTCATAGAAGATGAGGATTAGTTAACCAAATTGAAAACACACGAATAAAAATAAATAATTTAAACAAATAGATGAATAATTTAGGGGCTTTTTCGTTTTAGATATTATAAAAGATTAAAAAAAAATTATGAATGAATCTTGAGCAGTTCGATTTTGACGTTTTAGTCTGTAACTTGCAATATTCAAATTCTGATATGGAGGAACCTGCATCACATGCAGGTAATGGTGATGGATTAAATGCTGATATATAATCTGTCAGCTACTGGCAATGAATCTAAGATCTTTAGATTTGCATGTTTAATACAAGTCTACTTAATAAATGAAGATCTGGAAGCGTGGGGAGCATATTATAGAAGCATGTGACTCGAGAGACAAGGCCAATTGTCTGTCTTCCATGGTACTCTTCCATGGTACTGTAACATGGTGAACACAAATATTTTTGAGGCTGTACTGTAGGGAATAAATTTCAATCTAGACCAGGAAAACGATAGTCGAGCAATTAACATGAATACTGCAAATATTTTGTCTGGCATGCTAATTTCACCTGTGACCTTGATATTCAGATAATTTTATTTAATTCCTTCTCAGAATATTGACCTCTAATTAGCTCATGTCGTCCCGTTTTCTTATTGAATAAACTATAATTTTAGACATGTTAATTAAATTCAAATCTAATGATTTAATAATTGATCAATCCATATTAATATCGTTATTATAGCAAGCCTTCAACTATCGATGACAAGTTTTATCTTTATTTTATTATTATTCGACAATTTCGAATTCATAGTATTAAATTACATAATTTAAACCTTAAAGTATTGAGGATTAAGTAAATATGATTTAAATTGCCTAATTTTCATAGCACCAAGTTGACATCATTTTGAGATTCTGTCGTTAATTTTGTTTTTAAAAAGTTCAAAATTACGAGGTTAAAAATATTTAAAAAATATTTTTATGTATAATTTA